TCCCACTTTTTCTGAAAACAACATAGTTTTTAAGCAGATGATGATAAAAGTCATCCACAATTTTGGTAAAGAAAGAGATGCCAAATAAAAACATCATGTTATTCATAAAAACTCATCTCTGACTGTTTTCCTATTCACTTATCTCAACTTTAATTTAATTATTCTTAAATGAATTATTGTTCTTTTGAATTTTGTAACTTTATTAATTACGCCACATGTACTGATACGTAGAGCGTATGCTGTTTTTGAACATCTCCATTATGAGTACTTGCATTTGAATGACTTATGACAAAATTGACACTTACTACTGTTACAAGCTTTCAAGTGTTTGTTGTTTTGAAAAAGAAAAAAAAAATTTCAGTGAAAAGAAATAAACGTTGTTATGAACTTCAATAGATTAGAATTTTTATATAATAGCATTCAAAACAAATTATAAGAAAAAAATCATTATTAATGACAGAAGAAATATTTCACAAGTATACATTGAAACAAAAATAAATGGTTCGTAAGTTTAATTCGCTGCTTAAATGAATCCATCTTCAATAGTTGAACCTTTCAATTTATAATTTATTCATTTCTCAGTTTAGTTATAAATTTCAATTAAGTTTGATCGTTTTGATTGATTACTGACGAAAGAGAATAAAAAATCTGATGATACTATACTTTTGAAAAGATCTAGTAAATATTTTTATATAGATTACAGCGTGTATATAAATGAGATTAACAGACAATAATCATTTACATCAATAATGTATTGACTAATGCAAAAGAGATTTTTTTTAATCATGTTTGCCACATAATTCATTGAAAATCGCGTTCTGTTCATACGGTTATTGTTTTTTTTCTGTGTCATTCCGTTTTGTTTACAACTTCTTCTAGAGAGTTATATTGTCAATAGAAACATTTTGAGTCTGTTGTGTCATAAATGAAAACAAATGCTTTTTATTGTTTAAATCAATTTTTTTTTTATTCATGAAGAATTTATGCACAAACACGTTTACTAACAGATATCAATGTTTTTTCTTTGTATCTTTGGAAAAGGAAATGAAATTTAATTAGATGTTCGTTGAAGTTTATCGTTTTTTAAAACACAGAATTTCACAATCAAATTTCAAATGGAAATACTTAAGTAGTACTCATATAGTAGATTATTGGTGTTAAAATAACCTAAAATAGTAACTTTGGAAGTTATAAATCAAGCATATTTCATCACACTGACAGAATTCAATGGAAATCCGGCTCATGAAATCACCAACTCATCTCAAGGTTTGATTCACGCTTATATCAAATGAGATCTGACACTCCAATTTAATATTTGTGAGCGGCTACATGCATATAGTATATATAGGAGAGTCAGTTCACTTATACAGTCATTGCCAACTAAACAAGTCAAAAGTAAGTTACTGAAAGAAGGTTCGAAAGTGAGCTTGATATGCCATTGGGGAACTGGGGATCACTTTTTGGTCTTCATACGTCAAATTAGTACTCAATTAATTAGTACTCCTTAATTAGTACTAGATTCCGATGCTAGAATCTGACCAGATTATGATAGCTGATAAGAATCCAATCGAGTATTACCGGATCCGATTTCATTTCACTATTGGATTGATTTTACTCATTTGTACTCGCGATTAAACCAGTCAACGGAAGCAGCTTTTTAGATTGTCTTTTTGGAGCCCACTAACGGTTTTGTTTTAATACATCTAAAGGTGTGAATGTCTGTGTGGGATCCATGCAGAGGTGGGTGCAGCACAATGGCTCATTCACACCTCTTTTTTGTCTCTGTTCATAATGTTCGAAAACATAGGCTAGATAGCTATTGACAGGCTAACTTCTACATACTAGATCGTAATAGTATGAGCTTTGTTAAGTTAGACTTCGTGAAAAAGTTTATTTGATTTATTCGTCTAAATCTTCGTCTTGATGAGCTCTTACTGTTCAGGAACCGGCTTCATAGCAGTCAAACTACCGATTATACATTTTGTTCTCTATTCTACTAAATAAAACGAGACTCAATTTCGGTTGCTTACGTCGAATAGAAGATGGAAATAGACCGTTCCAAGTCTTTTCAGTAAATCATGATACAATTAAACAATAATTGAAATAATTAATGATGAAATAATGCTTCTTCTATTCTCTATTCATTCATATATTCAATGAGAATTATCATCAAAATGATGCTCAAATATTGTAAACACTTTCTTCGCTTACAGCGATTCGAGAGCAACTTGAATAGGCTGCATTTTCAACGGTGAAATTACTCTGTTAAAAATAATGAAGCAAATTGGTTAGTATATGACGTCAGACTGTTTTAAGTCCTCCCCTCATAGTCATACTAAATGAGCAGAGTTCTTCTTGTACTTTAAGGCAACTTGCTAGTCATGTCAAATCCTACTTTGAAAATGGTCTCGTAAAAAAATGTAAAATCACATAGAAAATGTTTTTATTGCTAGTCTAAAAGAAACATAAAAATAAAACAAAATACGAGGCTTCAAAGTCTAAAACTTTACACAGAAGCCTAAATATAACCAAGTATTATTGAAAAGTAGTTGCCTTTAAATTAAAGGTCTTAAGTGAGCCGAACACAAAGAAAGTTTCTAGCGCCCTATATAGAGGAAACAACAATCGCATCAATGATAATAAAAACGTGAAGCAAACCTAAAAGTAAATGACGATAAAACAACCAAGAAAAACATCGTGAAGATCATATAACAGATTTGGCAATGTTACAGTATCCTGTGATATTTACGATTTTTTCGGTGATATGCTGTCGAAGAGAAGTTATACGTCAAAGACTCGTACTTTTTTGTAAAACACAATGGAGTACTAAGTGTTGAAGCTTGTACAGAAAAAGTGATACCATCATACTTCTCTAATCCTATTACCTGCTGAAAGAAGAAGTATAAGTATGATAAAGTAGACAGATAGCGGTGTCCTTACAAAGGGGAAGGATAACCTAGACAGAGGAAATATATATTGATGTTTTCACACACATCATTTGTCATCAAATCAATCACTCGACGGTAATCACTTGTAACAATCATGAAAATTACGTTGCCATCTTTATCAAGAAAATAATGAAAGTGGATCAAGGGGGAAACGACGTACTCTCGTACTTTTGTACTCTACAGAGTCCATGGACTTTGATTAGACTCCGTGTACTCTGACTGGATTTTCATGGACTCTGAGTACAGAGAGTCCAAAAGAAAACGCTGTACTCTTGGACTTCCTGCACTCTCATGGCAGTTTCAGAGTCCCTGAAGTACTCAAAGTACAGATAGAGTCCACGAAGTCCACAAAGTACGAACTGAGTCCGCGAAGTCCACGAAGTCCATGAAGTACAAGAAGTTCAATCATCTGAACAACAATGCGATTTTTCGTTCATTCTTGATGTACTTGCGCTGGACCCTGTACTCTGCTGGACTTTCGTGGACTCTACTGGACTTCGTGTACTCCAATGGACTCTGTGGACTCCAGTGGACTCTGTGTACTCTAAGAGTACAGGAGTACGTCGTTTCCCCCTTGGTGTGGGTAGAATGAATATCTTTTTTCATTACGTATATTGACACTCACACCCTTGTACATGCGTATATGAATGCATCAAAATATCTCAATTATTAATAAAGGTATATAATTAGTAAGTATTGATAAAAGAATCCATTCGTAAATATAAACAGTTATCGAAGCCTTAAGTTGATTTCGTAGTATTAATCAATTAGTTCAGGATACATTTGATAAATTTGAAATACGACACAAGTAGCGTAGCTACGAAATAGATACGGGTGTGGGTGTTGATGTACAGCTTAGCAACACCCACACCCTTTTCCACTTTATTTTTTTTTCGTAAATTTTTAAAAATTTTCAATTAATATTTTGTTTTAATTTAAAAACGCTTAACTCGTCTCGTTCAGGCTCATGTACATATTTTTATGCTAAAGTAATATTTTTTTATAAGTATGAAAATTTTTAAAAAATTCCAAGTAAAATTTTCTTAAAACATGTGTACGCATGATTAGCAAGATCTACGGATAGTTTTCTCGAATGTATGGTTCAGTGGTCTAAATGGTTGATAAGTAATACACTGTACACATTTTCGAATGTAATCTTTCACTTTTCAGTATGTTTAAATTTAAAGCCGTCCTCGACGGTATTCCTTTTTTAATTTCGCATCCTTTTCTGACGGACGTCACGTCTACTCGGCCTGTCTAGTCAAAGTCTCAAAAAGTCCTCGTCCAAGACTAGTCTGCATTTTCAATAGTGGCTCGATTCCTAACCGGCATTGGAATAGTCCTGAACGGGTCTGTTTCTAGAAAAAGACTAGACTTTAGGTAGGCAATGACGTCAGTCGATCACTATCTACGGACAGGATTCAATGACACAGTCGTCCTTTGACTAGTCCTGGACGAGGACTTTTTGAGACTTTGACTAGACAGGGCGACCCGACATGACTAGAAAAAAAGACTCGTCATTTAGCCCGTCGCTTGCTTACTTGGGCATTAAAACAAAAACAGTGAAAAATATTTACTACATTCAACATACCACAAAAGCAAAATTTCATCAAAAATAGAGATGGACTTTGGATTTATTATTTTAGCTTGTAGACATTTAATATTTGCATGAAGGTCATATGTTGACAGAGTACTTGATATCCAAGTGATTAATAATTAATTGAAGAATTTGTTCTCTGCTGATCGAACCCTGCTTAACTATTTACTCCAGTATCACCTCTTGTGCAAATCAGAGAGTTGTCCACTTCAAGAAAGACTTCGCGAGTTCAAAGAACTCAAGTAAGTGGGTGTGGGGTGTAGGTGTGGGTGGGTGTGGGTGTGGCTATGGTTGTGGTGCGAAGATCNAGTGAGGAAATTATGAATGTTTTACTTCTTGGAGAATCAGGTGTTGGAAAATCGACTTTTATTAATGCATTTGTTAACTATTTGAAATTCAACAACCTACAGGAAGCTGAGAAAAATACTATTTTACTTATACCTGTTTCATTTATGATGACAACGGGTGATAATTTTGAGGAACATTTGGTCAAATTTGAGGGAAAAGATGACTTAAGCAATGAAGATCATGAACATCTTGGTCAATCAGTAACTCAGCATTGCAAATCCTATGTGTTCACTCTAACTGATGAAAGAAGTCGCGGTCGTAAATTACGAATCGTTGACACTCCCGGTATTGGAGATACACGTGGTTCCTCTCAAGATGATGCAAATCTCCAACATATTTTAACATATATTAATAATTTAACACACTTGAATGCTATATGTATCTTATTAAAACCAAACAATGCAAGACTTAATGTTTTCTTTCGTTCATGTTTTATGCAGTTGATCGATATGTTGAGTGAAAATATTTGTGACAAGATCATATTTTGTTTCACCAATTCACGTCCAGCATTTTATACACCAGGAAATACGGCTACTCCACTCAAAGCTTTACTTCAATCACTTCCAATCAAAACGATTTCTTTCAAACAAGAGAATACGTTTTGTTTCGATAGTGAATCATTTCGTTATTTAGTGGCGAGACGTAATAAAATCGTTTTCAATGATATTGAAGAACAAGTGTACTATGATAGCTGGCAGAAATCTTCTAAGGAATCTGGCCGTCTTATTGCATATATTCGTACCAAAATATCTACAGGCATTGATCCTAATCAATCGTACTCGGTGAAGCAAGCACAACTCAAAATCTATTTAATGAGTCGACCTATCTTAGAATCAATGCGAAATATTCTTCGCAATATTATTTTGAGTAATGTATCAAAATCACGCAAAGTTTCTTTAAAATTATATCCGAAAACTATCAGAAGTCCAATAGCCATTTGTTTAAAATGTCCACGTGAGTCTATTAAAATAGCGGAATTTTGGTTTACAATGGATAAATTACATGTCTTCATTAATAATAAGTGTCGAACATGTCAATGTGATCCATCTGATCACTATCCAATTGATTATGAGCTTGTATATAAACAAACTGATGATTTATCAAGCAAATCTGAGAATGATATAATGAACATGCTTAATGATTTGTGTAAAACGAGTGCTGAATTCGCTCATTTCCTATTGGAATCAGGCGGCAGCTCAGAACACGATCCATTCTTGTTAGGCTGGAAAAGAATGATTCAAGAAGAAGATGATATCTGTGCTAAGAAGTGTTCGTACGAGCTCAACTTTAAGCTGATGCAGGAACTTCAACAACTCAAAGATGGATATGAAAAAACAAAGAGAGAAATGGCTCGCAGAAAAGAATCCATTGAACTAGTTGATGTTTATAAAAAAATTGAGAATATGAGCAAATGTGAAATGATAGAATTACAAATGGTTGCTATTCGTGAATGGCACAAAAATATGATTATATACTATGAATATGAAGTTCCAACGTGATTGACACAGTCAACTCTGATGAAATTTTAAAAAAAAAACTTCTTTTTTTTACTAGCAAAATAAGATACCTTTCTTCTTAGCAATACTTCACTGGAAGTATTAGGCATAGTCTTTTGAACACAATCATATGTAACAAGTAAGAATCTTTAAAAAAACGTGCGGAGAAAGAAAACTATTCTAATCCCGTATTTTTATATTTGTTCGTTTTTTTCTGCAATTGATTATACTATTCAGTAATTGGCATTGAGGGAAAATTAATTCGACGTATGCATAGGTAAAAGAAAAAGAAGCCTTTAACCTTTTGTAGACAGTGCCTGTATGTATACGGTTTTGAAACGTGATTAAGGGAAAAAGCTGTTAAATGCACTAAAACTGAACTTTTTCATACGGTTTTTTGTTGGAAATAAACTTTGTCTATAAATAAACGGTATGGGATAGTTTAAATATTTATATATATCTGGCTTTGTGTAGTCCTTCATCGTTCATAGTACACGCTAAGCCATTTATCTTAAGACACTATTATTGGCTAGTATGGAGTCCATGATTGAATTTATAGTCAGAGTCATTGAGACACATTATTAATATTGCGTATTTTTATAATAAATAAAAAAGAGTTTGGCAGAATAAAATTCTAAAGCATATAATAACTGTTTAAGTTAAGTGTGGGTGGATGTGAAGGTTCTTCTGTTCTTCAACAACATACCTACACCCGCACCCATACCCTACCATCACTACCTGCTTATATCGTCAAGAAGTTAAAAGAAATACGGAAAGCGAGAAATAAATATTATCATTTGCGATACAAAGAAATCATAGGTGGGGAAACAAGGATACTTTTACGTGTTCTAACGAGAGAGTTAAAAGTTGATATCGTTAAATACAAAACTGCTCAGTGGCAAGATTTTCTATCGACTATTCAAGCGACTCACTATAAATCTGACAACGCGTTTTAGATACATTTGTCTCACATCTACAAATTTCGTTCATTAACTTTTTTACAATCTATGCAACGGAACTAGTGTAAGAAACTTTCGACGCAGCAAGAGATTACAAATGAATCATATCAGTACTATAGTGAACAATTCAAATAACCTTCAATGAATTCTTCTAATGCGTATGATGCTAAGATAGATAGTGAATATCGAAAATTGCTAAATAAGTTAGTGATGTCGAAAGATCAAGTAGAAAAAAACAGTACTACTGAAATTAAGCGTATTATCAAAACTTTAAAGCCTAAAAAGTCAGCAGGATTCAATCGAGTATCAAACTTTACAACTGAAAAATTTCCTCCGAGCTACATTGAGTGCTTAGCTAACTGTTTTAATACAGGGCTAGACGAATACTGTTATTTCTATGATTGAAAACTAGCAAAAATCATAAGTCTAAATAAGTTGAAATCAAATATCCAAAAGTGTGAACAAACTCATTTAATATCCTAGTTAGCTGCACATTAAAGGCTGCTTGAAAAAGTGCTCTTACAAAGAATTAGACACTGGGCTGAAACTAATCGTTTAGTACCTTTACGAGAATTGAGTTTCCGCCCAAATTATCTGTTACCTACTCGAGTACTTTCGATCTATCGGGGAGTGAAAAATAACATGATAGCCGATGATTCGACACTGGTCCTATATGTCGATTACCAAAAGGCTTATGATCGTTCTTTGTAAACTGGGGAGAATGAGTATACCTCTCAACTTACTGAAAGTGCCTGAAAGCTGGCTAAAAGATAGAAAAGCTTAGGTCGAATTTGGTGAGGTAACTTTGAAAATATTTGATATAAACATAGGACCTCCACAGGGCAGTAGTCTCAGTCCGTATGTATTCATCATTTTTCACTAAGAGCTGACAAATGATCTGGGAGCTCATTCAGACCATCTATTTGCAAATGACCTTTGTGTATTAATTAGATCTTCCATAATGAATAACTTAGCTTTGATGATAGAATATTTAGAAAAAGAAGGTATTCGAGTTTGTCATCAAGTTTTTAAGCATTCAAAAAAGTGGAAACAATCGAAAAATGTTTCAAATACAGTAGTACAAATATTTCATACACATGTAAAACGACCAATAGTAAACGTAACAATGGATGAGGAAAATATTAAATTAGTCAAAGAATTTCAATGCCCAGAGTTTACTTGGACGAATAGACTATCTTTCAAAATGATAGTCGCAAAGACTATAGAAAATATTCAGAGATAGCTAGGAAAAGTCAAGTGGTTGAAGTCAGAGTGTAACATGTCATGCATGACCCTTCGTCAATGGTTCTTTGCTTACACTTTCCCTCATTTTGCGTGGCTATTCTCCGTATACCCTCTTCTCCCAGAATTTCAACAACATATATTGCAACAAAAATTCTGAATGGGACTTCGGCTGGTGCATCGCTGTCCTTTCGTTTCTGAACACCGCCCCCTCTCGCTCGAATCTCACTTTAAAAAATATATTCAACGAAGATTAAAAACAATGCTTATGACTGATCTAGGTTTCTCACTATTCTACGATGATATATTCGTTTGGGATCAATTTCTTAAAAGAAAAAATGATCACCTTAGTCACTTTATTTGCTTACGTTGTGTGTGACAATTGATAGATCGACACAAATCGTTTCTTGTGAAGTGGTTGTCATTTATTGATGACAATTGATATCACAGAAATAAGCAAACACGTAATGCTTTATCCAATTTTCTTTTTTGTTTATGTCCTTCTCTTTCTTTCTTTCTTCTAGTTGTTCGCTCTACTCATGTATCTCCGCAGCTGCTTATCATTATTCCTTTCTTTTTACTCTATTTTTATTGATTCTTTATGTACTTTCTCAATGACTCTACTTGCGTAAATCGGTACTCAGCATATTATGTTGGTGGCATACAGTATAACGTCTTACTTTAATGATGCAATTTTTCGTTTAAACATCTCTATTTTTTTCTTTTATCATGTGAGCACTTCCGAGTGCTACATCTACGAGCATAATAAAAACAACACGTTGTTTTATTGTTTTTAAGGAATCTAAACAAACGTTTCGATTTATATGAAAAAATTAAAGATTTCGTCTCTCTGAATTGCTTATTTCTTGTATCGTTGCTGAAAAGTCATTTTAGTATAAATAGAATATTTATGAATTACTTCGAATCTACATCATAGAGCGTAATCTACTACATATATTTAAAATGAAAAAGCGTGTCAAGTTTTACAAAAAAAAAACTCTTTTGATGTTAAGTTTATATTATGTCAGATAAATCAACTATAATTAAATTCAAAATAAATTATTGGTCAATACTTTTAGAATAATTTTTGATAGGAACTAAGTAGATAGAAATCTGCGGTTTTCGCCGTTCACAAGAGGAGATAAAACTGCATTGAATCTAGAATACCAGATTTTTCTGACAAGTTTTCTCGGGGTTTCTTGCCTGGTTGTTCAAAATCAAAATCTTGTGAAATGAAAAAATTTTAGAATTTCAATTTTCAGTAGTGCATCAGAATCATTAACTGAAGTTTAATAATTTACATAAGTCCGAAGTTAAAAAGTTTTGCGCATCACGAGTTATCAACATTTTACTGCGTGTTTTCTGCAAAAGTTGCACGAAAGATCCACTTTCTAAACCTATTTTAAACTCTTGATTTAAAAAGAAAAACTTGACGAGAAACTCTGAGAAAACTTGTCAGGACAAAATCTGGTATTTATGGTTCGATACCGTTTCATCTCCCATTTTCAACGCCAAATATCGTAGATCTCTGTCTAGTTCCTATCAAAAATGATTCCAAAACTATTCGTCCTTCTACTAGTTTGAAATAGATAAGTGCTTTAATAATTCGTTCCATTTTTGCTGCATCAATCGATTTAATCTTTGTAATGAACAGTATTGGATTGATTTCGATATTTTTTGGATCATTAACCGTCTTGTATTACAGGCGCCAGTAATTGATCGCCATGAGAAAATGATTTTTCATATGTTGAATTCGAACTATAGTGCACACTAAGACTTACAAAAATAGCAGAAACAAAATCAGAAACACCGAAAACGGTTTTTTTGCGTACAATATGATATTTTGGTGGATTCATTCGTTTTCCGCTGGTTGTTACCGTGCCTGGTATGACCAGTCCATCATGAAGGATAGATTGAATGGCACTAATAGTCGTTCCATGATAAGCTATGTGCAGAAACATGTTTGCGAAGAACTAAACATCTACATGGCACAGGTTTATCTCTTAATATCAATGGTCGTTCAAGAGCAGCTGCAATAATTATATCTACTGGTAATGTAAGATGATTTGGGATAATATCAAAATGAAGTACGAATGCATAAATACCACTAATTATAGGTAGAAGACTTCGACGAGTGCTAGAATTAGACCAGAATGATAAAGGTTGCGCAAAAGTGTACAAAAGAACGTTCGGCTTATCAATCATGGTTACGACAGATAGTTCAACAACGAAGGTAGTAGATGAATTAAGTTCAGCTTGAAAGAGACAAATACATCCAGGAATGTCTAATGTTTTAGGATCAGGTGTGAAAAATTGCTGTTACTTTGAACTCTCAAAGAAACTAAACATTAAATTACCAATTTGAATGCTTTTTTTTCGTCGTTAATGGAGCTTTCAATGCAGACGAATTTGTTTTACCTTCCGAGGTGAACTTTTTATCGATACTTCAAAGGCTTACTATAGGCTCCTGACGAATTGATTGATGGCTTTCATATCCATTTGGTAACGTTTTGTGACGTACAAGACAAATTGGTGTATCAATAAATTTCGAGGAAGCATATCGTGAACAACCTACAGCTGATATAATAGTTGTGCCCTTTTTCTCGAAAAAAAGTATATGTCGAGCAATAGAAAAATAAGGATATTGATCACTTGAGACATTAGATAGTTCTGTTAATAAATCCTGGTAGTTTAATGAAGGTCCTACTTTAATTTTTACGATTGGTTCATCATCATTACCATCATTTTCATACACATGTATATCAATCAGTTTATGGCATATTAAATTACGTTGATATTGTAGTAAGATAGTTTTAATTCTACTTGCTGAGTCTTTATCTACTTCTTCTGATATGTCATCTTCGAAGACATTTGCTCCAAAATCATTTTTACTATTAACATCTGCACTATATTCAAGTAAAAGCTCAACAATTAAAACATGACTACGAAATTTCGCTACATGCAATGAAGTACTTCTTGGTTTATTTTTCATTTGAATATTAACATTAGCTCCATGTTCTAATAACCATTTTGCAAAAGAATATTGTCCATAACGGCATGCATAATATGATAAACTTATACCATCAGAATCACACAGATCTTGTAAATTATCATTAAAAAATAATCGAACCACCACTCTACACCAGTTCGTGTCCTTTCAAACATGTCACGTTCACGCATATGTTTGAATATATCAGTAATACTATTACTATATTTAGTGCCTGCGTCTTCAGCTTTTGTATCCCAACGGTTTTTAACAGTTGGATCACAACCAAGGTTAACAAGGTAATCAACAATACTTGTATGACTACCATAAGCAGCAAGATGTAATGGTGTGTTTCCATTGAAATCAAGAAGATTCATGTTAGCCTTACATTGTTCTACAAGCCAATGTACTAGGTCACAATAGCCTTTCTTACTAGCACAATGTAATAATGTTTGATGTTGTGTTAATTCATTCTTCAAAAACCAATTGAGATCATTTGCAGCCGCTCGAATGTAAGCGATTTGTTTGAGTTCAGTAAATACCTTTTTTTACATCATCATTATATGCTTCATCTTCAGGTGTATTATTAGCTTCAGTTTTTATTCGATAATTAGCTCCGTTTTCTAAAAGACAACGAACAGCATTAGCATGTCCATAGAAAGCAGCAACATGTAATGCAGTACTTTTTCCTCGTTGTGATAAATCAGGTTCTGCGCCTTGTTCAGTTAAAAACATTGCTGCTTCAACATTACCAACACAAGCTGTAGTGTAAAAGAGTTGTATGACCTGCCATAGGATCTTGAGCATTATGTTCTGTTAAATTAGTATTGCGTAGTTGTTCTTTTAGATTACCTACTAAAGCCGGTTCAATAGTCAATTGTTGTGGAGTGTATGTATCAATGAATAATTCGAAAATTCATTCTTTCCGAGAATCATAAAGTTTACGTTTATCGAAGTCAGATAATATTTCATATGCGCGGCAAATAAGACGAAAATCAATGACCGAAATCTTCTTTTGTAAATATTCATGAATATTTTTACGATAAACTGTCCGTAATTTAGTATAATCTATATTTTTTAGGAACACCGAGTATTTCATAAAGTGTTTTCCTCTCTAATGTTGTCATATGAATTAGTTTCTAAATGATAATGTTCTAATCGATTCCGCCAAAAAATATACATATTCCTGATGTATCAATAAAATAACACTCTCGTAATATTGTATTTCGAATTCTCTTTCCATACCTATACATGACTTCCTCCAGAAGAAGAGTTCTTGGATTGTTGCTAATTTTTTCAAACAAAAACTACAACATGTTGTTTTTAGGATTATTTTCACTGCTTTCATCATCATTTTAGATTCGTAATACAGGGAAATCTATTCTCAATGACAAACTTCAATCTCTGATTCGTATAATAATTTGTTAAATCATCTTTTACTTCAGTTACGGTAGAATAGCGTTTTTCTTTCAACTGTCTATACAAAAAATTCTCAATTTCCGGATACATTATTCACTATAGAAAATAATCGCATAACGATTAATGCGAAGATTTCGTTTTTTTTAAATCACGAATGATCAGCTTGATTACAGCATGACCAATCATCGATGATCCACAGCATGGGTGAAAATTCAAATTTATATCCACAGAAAGCGAAGTTCATCATTAGAAAGAAAATAGTTGTTGATACTGTTTGAAACGGGAAAGTTTTTTTTATTGTTAACCATCCTTGAGTAATTTCAACACGAGAAATCTTTCTTAGAGTAGACAATTAAAAAAATCTGTGTAAAAGATGGTAGTGGAATACCTTCTCAAGCAAAGAACAATCAGCAGAAGAAAAAGTTTATTGATTACTTACTAATCATTAGGATACGAAGTAATCTTTCATCATAAATGACTCTTCGTCCTAATTGCAGATGTCTACGAACCAAGATAATGATCTCAATTTATGAACATTACAATATAAAATTTGTTTTTGACTATTCGTGATCTACGGCTACCGATTTGTCTTCCTCTTTGAATTCATTTTGTTATTGTTTCATTCGTTCAAGTACGGCATCTCGTATATAAAACCCGCATTAAAATTATTGGTTAGATTCTCGTAAATAATTTGCTTTCTAACTGTAAGTACTTTTGTTGTCGGGTATGGTATTTTTCAATTAATGTTGTTTTGTTACCGAGATATATGAAGATAATAATGAACAGCTTCTTTGACAATATTTATTTTAGCGGTGTATTATTATATTGTCCAATTGTATGAAATATCAATTCATCATTTTTCTAAAGTTCAAACATGAAATTCATTTACGAATTTCGGCATCGTTTTTATTACCATTCATGACCACGAACATTTCAATTTTTTCATTCATCGATTTGTTGTCATATTTGATCGTAAAATTGAATTATATTTCTAAATCATTCTTGTGTAGTTTTGTCGATTGTGGATCCTGCTTCTTCTTTTTCATGATGATACCAACTACTAATCGAATTGTTAGGGATTCCCTTTCAAACTTAGCATGATTGGATTTTTTGTATGTTTTTGGTTTAACTACCCAGTTAACTTAGCAGTGAACATCGACGAAAATCTCTTGTCGAGTCATTACTTGACTTTTCTTTCCATCTTTCTCACGATATGATAAAGAGAGTTCACATTTCCTGCTTCGTCTGCTTTATTGGTTCGTCGTGAATGATATAGCTACTTATGTTGATTGCCCTTTTTTTGACATTTGATAAGTTGTTTGAAAATATTGTACCAAGTAATATTTCACAGAGTCTTTGTTTCGATTGAGAGCGAGAGCGAAAGTATTTTGTTGTTTCCGTCGCCGATCCGTTTGATCTCTCATCAAATAGAGAAATGTCAGGAATAGTTTATTGGCATGTAGTAACAAGTACAAATGGGAAACAAGGGCTTAGACACACTATTCTCTTTTTGTTTTAAGTAGATCATTGTTACATGCACCATTCGGAGACTAATCAACAGATTAATCTGCTCCTAATCTCTGTCTGTAGCACACCATAGCCTCTTGTCGAACTCGAATGTTTTTGTGTGATGTGCTGAAATGTCAGCCGATGAGTGCACATTCAGGACATGAATGCTGATCGATCTATTTTAACATTTTTTCATGGATTAAAAAGCTCTCATAGGATTGAATGAAGAAGAAGTAGAAAAATAGTGTGTGAGCTTCAGTTTACTTTCAGAACTCTACACATCGACAACGATGTTAGTTACTTCAACTAGTGTGAGTTTTATCTTGCTTTCGTTGGTGTACAGCGCTGTTAAGTGAAACTTGGATGAATATCATCAGAAGTCTAATCCCTTCTCATATGTAGCTGGCAACTGCTTGGTTAGCGGTTGTGGAGGTGGTCTCTGCTGCTCGGCATACGGCTATTGTGGTACGGGTGTTGAGTACTGCGGTGCAGTGGCGGGTGATTGTCGAATCTATGGCTGTCCAGCAGCACAATGCTGTTCACAATTCGGNGCTATTAAGTCTTGTTGTGCTTGCCTACGTCACTGACAGTGGAGTCAATTTATTTATTTATTTGTTTTATTTCGAATAAGAAAGACAAATCGAAATTCATTATTTTCTCCTCGGCTAAATACAATATTTTATTTTATTATTATTGAAATTATATCTATTAATAAAAGCATGATGCTGATCAAAAATAATTTATTTGATATTATATATAACAGAATGTTTACGACGTCTTCAAAAAGTATGAATTTCGATTTGTCTTTCTTATTCGAAATAAAACAAATAAATAAATAAATTGACTCCACTGTCAGTGACGTAGGCAAGCACAACAAGACTTAATAGCATTACCTATATATCCAAGTTTATGAATAAACTCATTTATATTTTGTGAAACTCACATATATTTTCGAAGAAAATAGTGAGTGTAAGTTTTAAGGTCAAGTTATCACGGCTCCCCACCCCTTCCATTACAGACCTTAGCGACGAATAATAAAAGATATCAGATTTTCGAGTGTTTTTTTTGGAAAATTGATCAAGTTATAATTTTAAAAACTAGTGAATATCATTATTTATGACTTGATTAACATATATGATAGTGTTTAAGATCTGCTGTAGATATCATAGATATGTAGAACACACTTATTTGTCAATCAATTCAATGATTATAATAATAAAAATGATAAATTAAGAAAATCGAATTAAAAAAAATTAAAAAAATGAGCGAATAGCAACAATGCAAAATAAAAAACAGGGCATTCGTAGAGAAATAGGAAGAAATTCTGTTCGAAATGCAGAAATTAGAGAAGTCATTATCCTAGACATCGATCACCCAGCAAGACAGCTGTAGTCTACGAGAGATTTATCACTTTACGTATTTTGTATTAGTTTAATGAGGCTAGAGTGTATATGTGAGTTCCACATTTCAGCCCCAAGGGGACTGCGCTAACAAGCTTTTTTTGACACAAGTCAAGTCTTGTCGCAAGCTAAGTCAAGTTTCATGACTTGCTTATGTATCAATTTACGAAAAAAGTTTAACATCAGTTCTTGATTAAAATTTAGCATGATTAACGTTCGTACTGGGTGTGGGTGTGAGTGTTAGTATGGGTGCGTGACCATTATTCTGGTCCACACTCACACTTCTGATAGGCAATCTTCGTCAACTACACCTGACGATGAAATAGAAATTAAAACTGATTTTGATGGCATCAAACGTAAATGATGACAATGGTCCGTTGCTGAAAAAATTAGAATATTAAATTGATTAGAAAAAAAAATGGAAATAATAAAAGTTTAATTGTACAAGATTAATGTTATCACAATGGTAAAAACAAAAACGAGAATTATTTTTACTTTCAAAACAAAATTACAGTAAGTTGTTTCATCGTTTTCGATTTTTCTATTATTCTGTTACTTAACATGACTATCAATTTATAGTCTCACGAGAAAACCTCACCAATTGATCTCCTTCATTTGAGCTCATAGTATAGATAAAAAAACCTTAAATAATTCATCCCACCAGCTATGTTCCTGATGGGATATACGACTTTTAGTGGATTTTCATTTGAGGACCCCAGTTTTCTAGCAAAATCGTATTTCGAAATTTCGACCTGAAACTTTGCCCAAATGAAATTCTAAAATAGACTAGCTTTTATTAAAAATGACAGCATTTTTGAACAAAGACTTTCCGAGTTATGAATTTTTCAAAAGACGCATGTCTTACACACTATTGATGGAGAAGCGCTAATAACTCGAGAAGTTCATAGCTCGCAGAGAGTTTGTCCAAAAATGCTTAGCATTTCTATGAAATCTAGTCTAGTTGAGAACTTCGTTCTGGAAGAGCTGAAGATCGAAATTTCAAAATATGATTTGGATGGAAAACTACGATCCTACAGAAAGAATTCACTCAAAAGTCTCTATGTCACCGGAAACAAGTTAGTGGAACGAATCCTTGAAAGATATTTATCTACACTATGAGTCCTACCTATGAGCAAAATGTGAGCTCAAACAGTGGATATGAGTTAGTGATGTTCTCTGGTGAGATATTTTTTGTTTGTTTATGTTTGCTTTTTATTTGTATATTGACAGAGGTTCTGAAGTGTTAAAAAAGAGACTATTTTTTCAAAGTGGTTTAAACAATAATGTAACCTAGCTGATTTTTGCTATTCTCATTTTAGGTAGAAAACGAAAACGTTTACAAGAAACAGGTGTTAAACTACACTATTCCGATCTTAATAAAAAAAATTGTTACAATGGTTTAGGGAACATCGAGGTATTAGTAAACAACCAGATGAAACAATAATAATCAATAAAGAAAAGGTTTCATTTAAACAATTGTAAAGAAGAGAGAAACAAATTACGATAGAATTAAATCATGAATCAGCATCTTCGAAATGATATGATTGTTTTCTTCTGCGTCATTGTTTATCATTACAAAAGCCAAAACCATATAAAAAAACTACTTAATGAAGTACATAAATCAGTGGACCTAAAATAGACCTAATGGGGACTTCTACTCCTAAAGATGTTTGTAGCATGGATGACAGTTTGTTAAGTCTTTTCGACAACCAAAGTTAATTAAATGTTAATGATATTGATACATGCAATGAAATTGAAGAACATTTTAGCAATAACCGATTCTATCCTCTCATCGTAATTGTATTTAGTAAATATAATTATCGAATCAATCCTGTATTATTGCTTAAAGGAAAATGTAAGTTATTCAATTGCTCAACTTCTTCTGATGAAAAAGAACTCGAATTTCAATATTTTAGGTAAAATATCTGAAAATGAAAAAGAAACATAATGTGCTCCAGATGTCAAAGTTTTTTTACGTCAAAAGCTGCCAATAATAGAGAAATAATGCATAAATATATTAATTATTGGATAGCAAAAAATAAAGATAATAAACCAAAATTGTTAATTACAGATAGTTTAGCAACACTTTTAAATCACGAAACACTTCGTTTACTACATAAAGATAGTCTTGTTGTAGTAATTATATCCAAAGAATGAGCACTTCATGCACAAGGTTGACTTCGACTGCATGGAAACGAACATATTAACTAGTATTGATTTTAACCAAGCACACCCGCACCCACACTCTCATTATGAAACAATATTTTGCTACTCTTTAATATAGAACCATGTGGTTCTTTTTGGTTTTTGAAGAAATTCAAACAAACGTTTCTAATTATATCAAAAAAAAGTCAAAACTTACGTCTCTCTAAATTACTTATTTCTTTGTTAGTCACTGAAAAAGTCAGTATATATTGGTCAAATGCATTTGTGTATAGTTGATCTTCTCGTATTCTTTCAAAGATTGAACAGCCTCTTCCAGCATTTAGTATAAATAGAATATGTTTATGAATTATACTTCGATTGTATTGAATAGAACGTGATCTATTACATATATTAACAAATAAAAACAACCTGTCAAATTATACAATAAGCTAATTTACAAAATTTTATCGACTTTCTTGAATATTCAGAAATTTGTACTAAGAGATTCAATGAACTAAAAAAAAATCTTTTGCTATTAAGTTTTACATGGTATCAGGTAAATCAACTATAATACATTTCAAAATAAAACAATGATGAGTATTTTTAGTATAATTTTTGATAGGAACGACTGTAGATAGAAATCTGAGATTTCCATTGTTAAAAATAGGAGATAAAAGTGGATTGAATCCAGAATAGCAGATTTTTTTGACAGGCTTTGTTAGAGTTTCTCACCTAGTTTTTTAAAATCAAAACAGCGTGTAATGTAAAATTCGTAGAATTTTAATCTTCAGTAGTGCACAAGAATCATTAACTAAAGTTCAGCAATTTACGTAAGACCGACGTTAAAGAGTTTAGCCAACTATGAGTTCTTCATATTTTTCGATTTTTTTTCGCCAAAATTTTCACAAAAAATCCACTTTCTAAACCTATTTAAAAGTCTCGATTTAAAAACAAACTTCGCTAGAACTCTAAGAAAACTTGTCAGAACAAAATTTCGTATTTATTGTTCGATGTCGTTTGATCTCTCCTATTCAACGGCGAAAACCGCAGATCTCTATTTAGCTCCTATCAAAGATTATTGCAAAAATATTCGTCCTTCTCGCATTTTGAAATAGATAAGTGCTCTGAAAAGTCGTTCCATTTTTGCTGCATCAATCGATTTGATCTTTGTAATGAACAGTATCGCATTGATTTCGATATTTTTTGGATCTTTAACGCGCCACTCAATAGTATCCATATCATCGCCTTTATGTTTTCTATAGGTTGGTACGGTACAACGATTACTACTATAACATCGACTGCTGACACTGCATTCTAGTACAGGTACCAGTAATTGATCGCCATGAGAAAATGATTTTGCATATGTTGAATCCGAGCTATAGTGCACACTAGGACTTAGAAAAATAGCAGAAGCAAAATCAGAAATACCGAAAGCTGTTTTGTCTCGTGCAATATGATATTTTGGTGGATTAATACGTTTTCCGCTGATTGTTACCGTGCCTGGTAGTACTAGTCCATCATGAAGGATTGATTGAATAGCACTTATAGTCGTTCCATGGTAAGCTATGTGTGGAAACATGCTAGAATCATGTTTGCGAAGAACTAAGCATCTACAGGGCACAGGTTTATCTCGTGATATCAATGGTTTTTCAAGAGCAGCTGCAATAAACATATCGGCTGGTAACGTAAGCTGATTTGGAATAATATCAAAATGAAGTACGAATGCATGAATACCACCCATCATCGATAAACGAATCCGACGAGTGTTGGAACTAAACCAGAATGATGACGGTTGTGCCAAAGTGTACAAACGAGCGTTTAGTTTTTCAATCATTGATACCAAAGGTAGTTCAAGAAGCGAAGAACTAGATGAACTAAATTCAGTTTGAAAAAGGCTAATACATCCAGGTATGTCGAATGTTTTAAGATCAGGTGTGGAAAGTATTGTGACTTTGAATTCAATGTCATTTTTTACAGAACTCTCAGAGAAACTGAACATTAAATTACCAATTTGAATGTCTTTTTTCTTTATTAATGGAGCTTTCAATGTAAACGAATGTATTTTACCTTCAGAGGTGAACCTTTTAGTGATGCTTTGAAGACTTGATATAGGTTCCTGACGAATTGATTGATGACTTTGATATCCATCAGGTAATGTTTTGTGACGCGTAAGACAAATTGGTGTATCAATAAATTTCGAAGAAGCATATCGTGAACAACCTACAGCGGATATAATAGTTGTATCCTTTTTCTCGAAGAAAAGCATACGTCGAGCGATAGAAAAATAAGGATATTGATCGCCTGAGTGATTAGACAGTTCTGTTAATAAATCCTGATAGTTGGATGAAAGTTCAAGTTGAAGTTTTACGATTGGTTCATCATTATTACCATCATTTTCATACACGTGTATATCAATCGGTTTATGACTTATTAAATTATGGTAATATTGTAGGAAGATAGTTTTAGTTTTTCTCGCTGAGTCTTTATCTACTTCTTTTGATATGTCATCTTCGAAGACGTTTGCTTCGGAATCATTTCCAATATTAACATCTGCACCATATTCAAGTAGAAGTTCAACGATTAAAACATGACCACGAAATTTCGCTACATGTAATGGAGTACTTTTTGGTTTATTTTTCACTTGAATATTAACATTAGCTCCATGTTCTAATAGCCATTTTGCAACAGAATATTGTCCATAACGACATGCGTAATATAATAAACTTATACCATTAGAATCACACAGATCTTTTGAAACGTTATTAAAATAATAATTAAACCACCAATCTACACCAGTTCGTGCCATTTGAAACATGTCACGTTCATGCATACGCTTGAATATATCAGTAATATTATTACCATATTTACTGCCTTCTTCTTCAGCTGTTGTACCCCAACGATTTTTAACAGTTGGATCACAACCACGGTTAAGAAGATAATCAATAACACTTATATGACCACTGTAAGCAGCAAGATGTAAAGGCGTATTTCCATTGAAATCAACAAGATCCATATTTGCCTCACATTGTTCTACAAGCCAATGTACTAGATCACAATAGCCTTTCTTACTAGCACAATGTAATAATGTTTGCCGTCGAGCAAAATATTCTGTATCTTGATGTTGTGTTAATCCATTCTTCATAAGCCAATCGAGTTCATTTGCCGCTACTCGAATGTAAGCGATTTCCTTGAGCTCAATAAATACCTTTTTTACATCATCATTATATGCTTCATCTTCAGCTGTATTATTAACTTCATTTTTTATGCGATAGTTGGCCCCACTTTCCAAAAGACAACGAACAACTTCAGCATGTCCATAATACGCAGCAGCATGCAATGCTGTACGTTTTCCTCGTTGTGATAAATCAGGTTCTGCTCCTTGTTCAATTAAAAACATAACTGCTTCAACATTACCAGCACGAGCTGCAGAGTAAAGAGTCGTATGACCTGTAATGAGATCTTGAGCATGAAGTTCTGTTAAATTAGTATTGCGTAATCGTTCTTTTAGATCATCTATCAGAACCGGTTCAGCAGCCAATTGTTGTGGAGTGTATTTATCAATAGATAATTCAGAAACCCATTCTTTCCGAGAATCATAAAGTTTACGTTTATTGACGTCAGATAATGTTTCATATGCACGGCAAATAAGACGAAAATCGATAGCCAAAATTTTATTTTGTAAGTGTTCATGAATTTTTTTGCGATAGACTGTTCGTAATTTAGCAGAGCTAATATCTTTAGTAACGCCGAATATTTCATAAGGTGTTTTTCTCTCTAATGTTGCCATATGAATTAATTTATTAATATTTATGTTCTATTGCATTTCACGAAAAAAAAATATCCCTCGGGACGAATGCTACTTGGTTTTTTCCAACAACAATCAAACTTTCAATTCGTCAGATTTTAAAATGACTCATACAACTTTCATCAAAAAAATAAATTGTCGCAATGTCGCATGTCAAATTCTCTTTCCATCTCTATACGTGACTCCATCTAGAAGAAAATTCTTTAACTTTTGCTTATTTTTTGAAACGAAAATTTCAACTTATTATTATTAGAATCATTTTCTCTGCTTTCATCATCAGTTCAGATTCCTAATACCAGAGTTCAAACATTGATTCGAATTATAATTTGTCATATCTGTGAGATCTTTATCCAACTATACTTTATTTTTTATTTATGTATCTATATTTTTTTTTATCAGAGCACAAGTTTATATGCATAATCTTATAAAAAAAAAGAGGGAAAACCCTTATGACTGCATCTGAAGAGGATACAGGTCATAACACCTCCCCCTAACAACAAAGATGCGCATCCCGTGCATCGGAAAAATAACAACTGATAATAGAAGACATAACAGATAATAATAAAAAAATAACAATAGATAAGAAGTACTGAGAAACAAAATCAAGAAACAGCCGTATTGAACGATAGACAATCGTTGTGGAAGGACGATGTGTTCTTGCAAGATTTGTGTTGCCACGCTACAATCTCTTCTTCACTCCGTCGAAATTAATAGAATGTTAAACAGCTGGTCTTGTGAGCCATTCTTGATATAGAATCTCGCGTTGCCACACCGCGAGTTCGTTTGTCCATGTCGACGGAATAATTACGTATATTGTTGATATTGCCATACTTGATACTGTTGTGACGCTGCCACATCGTCTTCAAACGCTGTTGCTGATGGCGACAATGCATTATTGTATTAGTTCGAATGAATTGTGATCAAAGATACCGTTCCGCAACCGGTTGAAGTTGACTTATATGAGCCCACGTAGTTTTTCCAGTTTGACTGTCTTCGACCAAATAGTTTTGTTCACCCGCTTTCTTGATCACACGGCAAGGTCCTATCCATCGTTTGTCTAATTTGGTGCGATTAGCACATATCTTAAGAAACATTAAGTCACCAATAGAGTAAGAAATATCCTTGCGATGTTTGTCATATCGCTGTTTTGTTAATTGTTGTTGGCGACGTATGTTTTCTTGAGCTTGTTTGATAATTATTCGCCGTGTTTTTTGT